TTTTTTTTCAATTAATTGATAATCAAAAAATCATGACAAACGTTCTATGTGAAATTTGAGTTAATCTAACATTATCATTACATTCTCAAGAGCATTAGCATAGCTGTACCATACTCATCTGACCATTAATTTCAGGTATATTTCGACATCATCCACCGTATTGCTATGGGTGAAAAATTGACTCCAGAGCTCGCTATCGAGTACACTAAATTTGCGACTGGAATTTTATCCGCATGGCCTACCAGTTCAAATACATCACGAGTCTGTGAAGTCAGTTTAAAAAGTGAATGGAAGATTTCCTGGATTATCTTCGTAGTAATCGTTCTTTCGTTGCTCCGCACGGCGTACAGAAATTGGGGCAGTTTTATGCAGCTTACTGAATCCTTATCGATAGTAGCTTGTATGGATCAACTCATAGCAAAAGTGGCAGTCGGAAAACAGAATTATCATCCGTTTCAAGTAAGCGCAAGTTTGAAAAAAAAATTATATGCACCAGAATTAGTGCGTTGTGTATCAAGAGTGCAAATGTCAATAATCTCGACCGAGTTGCTCATGAGTTATTACTTTGCTGTTACGATTTTCTTTACCTTTAGCCATTTGAAGATAGTTGGAGATATTTCTGGTAAATATGAATTACATGAAACGAGTTGCTCCTTTTCACTTCGAATATCATATTCTTGGTTCTATCGCAATCCTGATTTACATATTTACTCCTTATTGATCAGCCGTTACTATTAATAGTTACATACCCCTTTCTTGTTGATGGACATCCTTGCTACGATTTTGTTTACTGTAGACTCTCGTTATAGTCGCATTTCCCCTCATATTGATTATTCATTGCTCGGCCGATTCTCCCACCCTACTCCCCACGGGCCCCGGAGTAAACACTCCAGCGTTATCTTCGAGGAGGCATTTGCAATTCCAGGAAATCCGAAAAATAAAATACACTAAATATGAATTCTCGATCATGAAATTCAACTCCCTCTAGGCTGTCATGGAGAGGGTTCTACACGGAGAGGAATTCTTTAGAAAAATGCCAGTGCTGATACTGGAAAAAATCATAATCCACCGGCTATGAAAAATTCTAGTGATAAGGTAAAACTTCTAGGGATTTCTCATGACATTTCCGGGGATTTCTGTGAAAATTTCATATGATAACGGAAAAAATCCCCATGCTACTCAATAAAACTGAATTGCAATAGGAATCTTTTCCTGGCCGTCACTTTGCGTTCACTTTTTCCGTTCTAGTCTTAGAATTTTTCAAGAGAACTTTTCTCCACATAGTTTTGTTGGGATAATGTGAATTAAATAATGAATCAGAATAAAGAAAATAACAGCAAGATTGCCGATAAAAAAGTTGAAAAAAAGCTTAAGATGAATCTAACAATTAAAACTAGAAGACCAAAACTACGTTGATAAGAATAGTATATTTCGTCATTAGGCCGAAGAAAACTTTTCTGGTGAATATGAGGTTTGCAGCACGAGCCGAAGGCGAGGGCTGCAATCATATTCGTCAGAAAAGTTTTTTTTGGCCGTATGACAAACAATATTTTTTGTCATGACGACCGTAGGCAGAGATTCACGGACGCGGAGCGAAGCGTGAAACGCTGCCTTGCGGCCGGAATGACAAAAACAAAGTTTCTTCATTAAAAAATCGGTTGATTATAAAAAATGAGTCAATTAAACGCGTATTGCAATGTTAACGTAATGATTAAAATTATTTGATAAAAAGTTGAATTGAATTGAAATTAAATCCTTAGTATTTGTATTTTATGGCTCCCAGTTCTCAGAAATTTCGCCTTGCGTGAACGCGTGGTGGGGGTAGCAAAATACAGTCGTATTCTCCGAATTCATTTCCCCTATTCCCCCATGAGTACGACTATAACGGTAGTCCACTGTAATCGTTTACATTTTGTAATCATGGTGCCACTAAATTCAAATGTGAATAGCCCCGTGACTGGCCGTGTCTATATATTTCTGGTGGGGAAAATTTTCCGAGGTGTCATCAGAGGTCTTTATATGGGATTGGAACAAAGACGGTCCTATGAGGGGGACCACCAGCACCATAAAATAAATATTCCGAGGCATTTTATACCTTGGCGACGCAGGCCGGGATTGTTAGTCTAAACAAATGACGAAATACAGAGTTGAAGATCTCCACTAGGAAGTGGAGATCGAGACAGTTCGCCCGGGAACGCGTGCGAGAGCACTTCAAGCTACATTTATCGATTATTCATTGAAATCATTATTTTATGTTTGCCTTCATCATTACTATTAATTGTCAACTAGTTTTATAATCCACCAAGGATACTTTTAAATTGAAAAGGATTGTTTTAGTGAAGTTATTTCAATACTCCCACTCCCATCAATTTATTTACTACATTCCCATCGCTCTGCATTACACACTCCGGAAAACTGAAGAATAGGCGCCTTTTTTCCAATAATCCGAATGGGAAAATAAATTTACTTTCAACTGTAAGGAATATTGGAAATTAAAGATAAAATCAACAGGGTATAAGTATGTTTACTCCATCGAGACAGTCAGTCGTTCACGCGCCTTCTCCGAGATACTTCCGACATACTGTAGAGCTAGTTTTGTTTGTGAATTTGATTGAACTATATAAAGTATGTTTTTTAGAATTTTGATATACCCAATTTTTTGAACATTTTTTTAGGTTTGGAAACCATTAGACTCTTACACAACTAATTACTGAATGGATATATATGAAGCAAATTTCTTTTGGCCATTCTGGACGTAAGGCTGTGCTTCACGGACGGTACGCACCTCCGTAAATCACTGCTTACGGCCGTTATGATAAAAAATATTGTTCATCGCACGGCAGAAAAAAAATTTTCTAGCTCATATGATTGCAAACTCAATCGCCAGTTGAGTTATCAACGGTGATGAAAGAAATTGAAAATGGTTTTTCACTTCAATGACTTAATCGTGTTTTAATTTTGTCATCCATATTTTTTCATCCACTACATCGTTGCATTTTTCCTCAAAGTTACTGTTAAACAATTAATTCTGAGTATGGTGGGTATGGTCCTGCATTCGATTTCCCATTTTGCCCCCCTAGTACATTGCGAAATATTCACAATCTAAAAGTAATTGATGAGGAAGTGCAATAAGAGAAGTGATAATTCATTCCTCCAATTTTCCATTATCGCGGTCTCGTCGAGGTCTTTGATCTCAACTTCCTCTGTAATACTTTACATCTTCCTCTTGTGTATCAGAAGGGCTGCAGTGAACATGCCCCCGTTGCGGTCCTGCGCAGTTTCGCTTCCGGAGCAATACTCCGGACTGAGAAGAAAATATAATTGTACCAATCAAACTTGTTTCAAACAAACAAATGCCCTAATTTCCATTAAAAAAATCTCCCTACAAATTGTTTCCCAAAACATATCTGCTTGGTAGAATTATATTTTTTTTCAGTGTGCGAATATTTCGATGTCTCGGATGATTCTCAGGCGTGATCTGTGTTTGACACGTGAACTTCCTTCAAGTCCTTGATCCCTTGGACGATGTCGACGATTAATAACATCCTGGACTTTATTTCATCACGTACGTTCGAGTTCGGTCGCATGTTCGCATGTTCGCATGTAGCTCTGGAACCAAGTTCTAGAGAAGCGTTCGTCTATGGTCCCACTTATTCTGTTGTTGTACCGACAGCCCATCTATGGCTGTTTCATTTGAGGCCAAGTGGTCCACCTTGATATGATCAGTTTTTGTTTTGGGTTCGCTCCCAACTGCGGGGGATGCGCCCTGAAGCAAAGCTTTACAACCTGCGAAATCCTTTAGAAAGTAAAAGCGTTCTGGAATGTGTTTCTTTAGATGCTTAAAATAAATGCCTAACTACAAAGTGGACTTTCGCCACACCCTACGTCCGATTCGCCCTGACTAAAAACCTCACTCTGAAATTCTTTTGATATTTGATTATCTCGCGGCACCACCCATAAGTAGTACTTCGCGAAGGAAGTCTTAGCCGTTTGCTCTTCCTCATTATTTTTCGTAGTTTTTTTATTGTATGTTCCCCTAACCCACTAAAATATTGGACGTGAGTAGGCGGTTCCAGTAAATTCCTCGCCTATTCTGCAGCTTTCCGCTTGCATTCCTCACTTGTGAGCTTCTCCATCACTTCTGTCACGAAGTTGCTTGCACGATGAGAAGAGAGTTGCCACCGAGTTTTTCGGCAAGACCTTTTTCCTAAGTGCAGACTCCCAAGTTGATCGAGTCAAGCTGAAACTGCAGTATGTGAAGAACACGCGCTGCGCGTCTTCATCTACTTCTATGTATAGATTGAGCACTTCGGTCAAGCCTCACATCTAGTAAATAAAGTCTACCTAAATTTTATTGTTGAGAAATTCTCAAGCACACGCCCTGAAGCTGTGCGAATCAATTCTATTATGTTTAACTCTTATTTTAGCCTCATTGCTCAAGCTATGAAGCAAATTTGATGAGAATCATAATTTAAAAGGAATTACTATTTTGCCTCGTAGACACAATTTGCCCTGGTTTCTCCTTATCATGGAATCATTTCATGCTGATATTTGGTGAAATTATCCATTTAAGGTCACAGTAAGTGGAAAATGAATAAACTAATATGCTAATGAGGAAGTTGCGGGCTAAACGCCATCAACTCGCCATATAATCAACGCCACATTATTATCAGTTAATGAGCACCTTCCAACTCGATCACCTATGCTCTCTCCGATTGACATTTATTGAGTTTTTATCATCAACTGCGGTCACTCCTTGAAGTTCTCTACTGAGAAGCCCTCTCGTTGATTTAAACTGGAGAAGTAAATCATCAGCCTTTATAATTACTTACTCCACATATTCAAACTATAAAAATGGATAATTCTACTTAGCTTTAAATATTCTTTATATGTGATCACCCCATCATTTCGTTTTCAAGTGTATTTCAAGTAGCATAAATGCATCCAACTCATCGCTCGATTAGTTTCAGATTCAAACCAAATTTTTCCGGCGCATCGCTATGAGTGGAAAATTGACCCCAGAGTTCGTCATCCAGTACACTAAATTCGCAACTGGAATTACATTTGTATGGCCTCCAAGCTCAAAAGCATCGCGGCTCTCAGAAATCACTTTTAAAATCGGCTGGTGGGTTTCCTGGATTCTCTGCGTAGTTATCGTTCTTTCATTGTTCAGGACAGCGTACAACCACCGGGATAATTTTATGCAACTTACTGAAACATTATCAACAGCAGCTTGTCTGCTTCAAGTTATGACGAAGATGGTCGTTGGAAAATGCCATTATAATCGGTTGCAGGTGAGCTCAAGTTTGAAAAAACAATTCATCTGTGAATAAAAATTCAGTACATTAGGCATAAAGAGCGGAACTTTCCGCCTTCTATGTCAAATTACTCACACATCCAGAGAAATGGCACATTGGAGTTGAGCTATGTGGTAGCGTATCGGCCAAAGAAAAGTTTTTGCTCCGATCGTACGAAATTGGTACAACGCTGCTGTCAGCACGTTGCTTACAAATTATATGGAGATATAGAATGGAAAATCAATGGTACAAGAATTAGAAAATTGCGATGATCAATTTTAGAATAGTGACACGAATATGAAAAAATTCAATAGAAAACCTTAGTGAATTCGTTAGAAAATTCTATGGGAATTCTATAAAAATTCTATTGAGATTCTATGGAAATTATACGGAATTGTCATTAAAATTCTATTGATTTTTTGCGCTGATTCGATGAGATATTTGATAGGAAAAAGTTAACAGATTTCGATTTTTCTATATTTTTTCTATAAGAATACTTGAGCATTAAGTTTATAAGCTTTTTTCACTCGGATGCTGTAATGCAAAGCAAAACAAAATATAGCGGAAAAAACTTGGGAAATCCGTGCAATTCACGAAAATCCGTAAAAATTCAAACAGAAGAATCTAAATCTATTGACTTTTTCTTATCAAATATCTAATAGAGTCTGCGTAAGAAACAAATAGAATTTTAACGGCAATTCCCTAGCATTCCAACATAATTACCATAGAATTTGTAGAGAATTCCAATAGAATTTTCTAGCGAATTCGCTAAGGTTTTCTGTTGAATTTGTTCATACGTGGAGCGCTAAAATTTTGACGATATTTACTGCGATGATTTGAGCAACTTTATGCGCGAAAGTTGGAGCAGCATTATGTGGGACAGTCAGAGCAATGGTCATTGTAGCAATCAAATCGACAATTTTATCACCATGAAGTACGATATTCAGTATCATGTGAGGGGCTATTCACAGGCGAATTGGGTGACACCGCGATTACAAAATGTAATCGATTACCCAGGATTACGGGACTGATTACACTGATTACCATTGCCTATGTGATAACCGTGATTACCAAGAGCGCAGAATGTGATTACATGATTACGAATGATTTCGTCGATTACATTCTGTGATTACCAAACATCTGTAATAATTGAAATTACAAAAAATGGCCTCTTATTAAATATGCATTGATGGGATAATTAATTAATAGAACCTGCAAAGTAGCTGTAGTGGTCACGCGGGGAGTGTGTGGCTCCGGCGGTCATCCAAGCTAAGCAGCGTTCAGTCTGCCCAGTACTTGGATGGGTGTCCGCTTAGGCACACCTAACCGCGTGGGACTACAGTCGCTAGGCACGAATGTAGAGAACCGCTGTGCCCATTGAGTCAGTGTGACCAATGGACACAGTGGACTCCCTGCATTATCGGTCGGCTGCACGACTGAGGTTTTCCATGGTTTCCTTGGCAGTCCAATCCCGAATGGGGTGCAGTTGGGGATAAAGTAAGTCGGCCCATGGTAACGCAGATAGGGAAGGGAACAAAATGTAAAAACCCGAGAGGGTATACATGTGAAACTAAAAATAGGACCTGCAAAGAAATGAGGAAGGAGGGGCGGGGATTAGAACAGAGGAATGCAGTCTCCATCACTCCATCTAAAAATTTGGGCATTTATAGGTGCTATCAGCAAAATAAATTTACTGAATATCTACCATTGAAGGAGAATGAAACTTACCAGCAGATAATTCAGTGATAATTCAGTCGTTGGTTCTCCAGAATAAGAAGAAATTTTAACTCTGTTGAATCAATTTTCTACGGACAAATGCTCTGTGCAAAACACATTGGCTATGCATATGGTTCTGAACTATAAACATCTGGGATTCCAAGAAAAATTGATCCAGGGATCTCTGAGACTTTCCGTTGGTAGAAATGACGCGCTCTAAAATTCAAAAACAAAAATCACGGTCTCGCTAGGAGCAACTACGAAAGATTGCACTGATTACAAATGATTACCACTTGATTCTCAAAACTTGATTACCAATATGGTAATCATGTGATTACAATGATTACATTGATTTCACCGGGATTGCAATTGATTACATCAGCGAGTGACGCCACGATTACGCCTGTGAATAGCCCCTCGGTATCATATAAAGTCCCATTAATGGGTGCGTCACTATTCCTAATCATGGCGGTAGACAATCACAAGGTGACTGGCTGAAGTATTAAAAAAATCTAACGTTCACTATCTGACCGTTTATTATGGAAATTGACTAATTTTAAAGCTATTGAATTCTTGTTTTTCTATTCTGCAATCTTTCTGAAATTTGTAAACAAGGGACGGATATTACCCTGTATATATGAAACAACTACCCCCTCCTCTACGTCGAAATCATATGCATTATCTCATTGAACAATCTCAATCTACCAGAGGGTAGTAAGAGATGCTACTACAGTGGACTCTCGATAGTTGCACGCCCATTAGTTGCTCGTTTTCCCCTAATCCCCTTTTCGGACGCTTGAGCGCTATCAATTCCTCGCTGATTCCCGGCTCTCACCCGGACGGCCCGGGTTCGATTCTCGGTATCGGAACCAATGTAGGATTCGAGGTGGTGTTGGATCGGGAAGATAACAAATCAACTACGCGAGGCAACGGTTGCAAACTAGTAATTAGTTTATTGTCGTGATATGAGTAAGTACAGGATGAGTCGGTGGTATGAATGTATTATACATATAGGTGAGGTGGAGATGTCTACCGAGTGGCGAGAGCCACACGACTACTAAGCGGGAGCGATTGCGACACCTGGGACGGGCGTGTGTTCCTCAGGGGTGTGTCTATGAGAGCGGTGCTCTCATTTTTCTGAGAACTTGGATCGGCATTGATTGCGGAGTGGGGGCCGGTGGAACGTTGCTCATTTCTTGGAAATGGTACCCTTACAGCCCTTTCGATGGGCAACTAGCCAGAGTCTACTGTAATAGTAAGAGGTACCATAGGTTGTTCAATGGGTTAAATAAATAGTAAGCGTGATAAGTTACATGAAAAATACTCTAGGGACATTTTATAAATCAGTCAGAAGCTTCTTATTGATGTAACTATTGTTTCTTTCAAATCAATGTTAATAAAATTATGCACTTTTTTAAGTTTGTTTGTGTGTAGAACTGGCCTTTCGCCAGCGCTGAAACAAGATGAAACTTTAGAGTTGCTCGTGAGCATAAAAATTGGAAAATAGGTAAACGATCATAAATGAAGCACACTAATGAGAAGCCTCGCCGGTTTTGTGATGCGACGGCCGAGGGCCCAAACGTTATCAGGATCATCATGCAAGGATCAGATTGTCCTATCTGCCTCTGCCGTTTGATCTTTGCATGATGATCCTTGTAAAGTTTGACCCTCGTGACCCTTGTAAGCATCCTCGTGACGATATTCTTCGACGATATCGGCTCGGACTCGTCGTTTCGTCTCCTTTATTTCAGATTTGAATATCCTGATATCCTGAATATTGAAATGGGTTCATATTACATTCAATAAAAGCTTCATGACGAGATGCAGTTTATTTAGTTCCAATACATCATTTCTCTGGATAAATTACTACTGTTTTGCTGATAGCATCTTCCCTACCTTCAGGTATGAGGCTTGAAAATTTTGTTAAATTTCCAGTACTTGATTCATGAAATGGAGACATTTGTGGAGAATGCAAATTTCCACGAACGGGAGATACTCACCAACTACATAAAACGAATTGTTTCTTTTCACTTCGTTTATCATACTCTCTGCGCTATCTTGGCTACGTTTTACATATTTGGTCCTTTCCTAATGGATCAGCCATTGCCATTCGGAGCTGAGTATCCCTTTTGTATTGATGAACACCCGGCTTACGATATTGTTTACTTACTGGAATCAATAGGGGGTATTCAATGTTCCTGTATCATCGCCTTTATTTGTCAAGTATCTCTGCTTCTCTGGTATGGAACAATTCAACTTGCATTTCTTGCTGAAAAAATGAGGAATGTCAATAATACTCAACAACTCAAAGAGTGCATTAGTAAACATCAGCATATATTACGGTAACTCTAGCTCCTTTTCTGATTTCAAATCGTTCATTGAAAGACTTGATCTAGGCAATCATTTTTTGTCTCCAAGGTATATAGATGAAATCACAAAAATCGTCCGGTACATGGTAATGACAGCAATTGTAGTAGCCATGATATCCGTCACATGTTCAGGAATCCATATAGTCGGAGTAAGTCTATCATATATAAGGGTATTTAGCGATAGAAGTGCATAAATTTAGTTTTTGACAAGTGTAGAGTTTTCCGAAGGCGAGGTTTGTGATCGTACTTGTCAAGAACGAAATTTACATTAGTGACATTTGGTGCTTTGTAAGATGACGTGCAGGAAAGGCTGTTGATACACGCATAGCAGAGCACTTACCGCACGGAGCAATGTAAATGATTTGGTTTTTAAGTACAAAGGGTTATTAGTAAGTTCCAGCTTACTACACTGATAGAAAAAATCTCTGACATGTAGAGTACAAGTTCTTGGCTCAAGAAACTACATCATTCGCGCCGTTTTAACTGAATGAATTCTTCATGACTTTGGATCAAAGAAATAGGGGAACTTGGCATAAAGTATTAAATATTGGACGGAAAAAGCAGGAAGTTTCGCGTGCATCATAATGCTTTCCATATTAGATCAGACTCGCTGGCAAGAATCTCTTGGCGGAAAGTAATCTTGCTTACATTCAATATCAATCTGATGAAGTTTCTGCTCTTGTGTGAAGAATTCGTACTTTTCGCTATAGATAATTCTGTTTTTCATGATTTTCGACAGAGGTGATAGGGTTTCCAATCAAGTAAATCGGTCCTGAGGGCACACATCTTCCTCTCAGAATATACTTCAATTAGGTAAAACTAAGAATCTCTTGTATCAAGAGATTCATGGTCAAAACCCCATTCTCTTGTCTCAAGAAACCACTTCTGTCGTGTCAGAAAATTTTTCTATCAGTGTGATAGCACTAGCGACTATTTGTAAGTTCTTACTATATGAACCCTGAGTTGTCATTGGTGAATTCAAGACTTTTTGATACATCACATACACGTGGACGCCTACATGAAGAGGACCCATTCCATCGCACACCTTTAATTTGAATGTTAAATTGATTTTTTGATCTTATTATCAATACCGCCAAATGGTAATTTTCATGTAGACCTCTATATATTATGGATGATGAAGTAGAAAACTGAGACCATTCTTTTACTCACCTTCCCTCTAGAGGCATTCAATTTTTGAAGTAAATTATATTTAGTTTTTCTCATCCGTACTTAATTTGCGTTACCCAAGATCTACGACGAGGACGTGGCTGGCATAGGATATGCCAGCCCGAAAATTCCTAAATGAAAATTTTATAGTTTGAAAGGGTCTGTATTGTACACTAAACCAATGACTTACAATGTTCAACTCATTGAATCGTCCGAGAAGAAATTCAAGTTGGAATAGAGTCAAGGACTTATCCATAGGACCTGATATTGATTAGTCTGGAACCGCAAATGAAACGGTTGTTTGGATCCAGGTCTGATCCAAATATTAAGATGTAACATGTCTTATCAGTACCGAATTCGATCAGAACTGAAGATCAGAATTGACTCAGTTGTATGAGATCCAGATATGTTTTGTGAGAATCGAGCCCAATCCTGATCTCGAACGTCTGATCAGGAAATTTTACCACACTGATAGAAAGGATTAGTTATTGTTAACGAATGGATTTGGTTAGAGACGAGGGTCTATTTGGTTTCACCAAATGTTCATTCGTTAATAGTTAATAAATGCACATTTGAGGAGCCTTGTTCGACTCGATTTTCGCTTTTCAAATGAACCGTTCGTTAACTATTAACGAATATTCATTTGGTCATATTCAACTCTACTATTCGTGAACAGTTAACGAACCTCGTTTGGAATAAATGAATCAGTCTATCAGTGCAGTATCAAACATATACCTGGAAGCAATTCTCGAATTGAAATTGTACGTGCGACTTCACTTCGGATTGATCGTATGCGTTCCGGTGATATGCCTTACGAGCCACGTGCAAGGAACCGTCATGCGACCAATCAATCTCAACGCGAGAATAGCCTCCCTAATCTAAGATCGGAAACATGAATTAACTTTCACCTTTTGCTCTTTTCTGCAGAAAGAAAATATCATTCGAAGAATCCAGTTTTTGTTAGTTGTCATCGTGGACGGCTTAGAGCTTCTCTGTCTGGCCTGGGCTGCAGAGAATTTATCCGCAGCTGTAAGCTACCAATTCGGCTCAATGTATTCATTTCACTTTGACACTCATGTTTCATATTTTTATACAGTCCAAAGAAGTTGGATGGGCACTGTACAGTTCTACATGGATTAAACATTCCAAGGAATTGAACAAGACTGTAATTTTCGTCATTCAAAGGTGTCAAACGCCGCCGAAAATTGCGATCGGTGGATTGTTGCCTCAATTGTCTATGAATTATTATGGAAGGGTATAGCGAATTTCATTATTTAAGATTAAAGAACAATTGGAGAGATAATGAATTGGGCTAAACATTTTTGTTTTCAGTACATGTCAACAATGTATTCCTTCTTCACTACGCTACGTGTAATGCTTAAAAAATTCGAGGACGATGTATAGCGTATTTCAGAGCGTATATACAGCAATTCAAATTGATAATTTTTCAGCACTATTCGATCTTACTGAGAATATTTTTAGCACTTCCTCAATCATCTTCATTCTCTTATCTAAACGAATACTAAAGATCTTCCTCATCGTCAAACACACTCCTCTCATATCAACTACACCCACTTCTATTCACCGTTTGATAAAAAAAAAGATCCCACCATTCATCTGGCCCCCGTCACTCCAGAAGGAACTTTAGATAGCTCGCCTAAATAGAATCATAATATCTCAAGTAGAAATGGTCAGCGGAAACCGGGTCCATCAAGCCTTGAACCAAGGCTTAAAAATGCTCAATCAGGACCGTGGCCCAAGCTTGAATTAGCCGTCATTCAACCCGACAATGATAACCCGAATTGAGGCTTAATCTGTAAGGCTCAAATCAGGTTCGAAGTCAAAACCAGTTGGAAAGCCTTGAACTATTCATTATTATTGATAGGAATTTGTTTACATTATTTTTTAGTATTTTATAGGCCTCCCTATTAAATTGTAGAGGCACATGAAAAAAGCTGCGGTAGGATCGTTCAACATGGTTAATATTAAACGTTGATTCGTTTATTGTTTATTGTGATCGCTGACCAATACACACGTGCCCCCTACCCTACCCTACTCACACTGATGCGTTTCATGACTGTGATAGATGAGAAAGTTAACTCAACATCTCTAATATAGAGCCTATAATCAATTCTTATTCCAAATCACTGACATGATAGTACTGACTCCCACCTTCATACCACTTTCATTTCTTCAGTGCAATCTTTTCCGATCATAGCACACACATACACATAGAGGTGACTGAGGCAAAAGTAGACTGCTATGCAAAATGAGACCGCTGTAAAATTTTACGTTTTAAATAAATCATGAATTTCTCTACATGTATAAATGAAAAACCGAATTTTAAATAGATTTGATACGTAATTATACCATCGTGTTATGTATAATAAAAACTTGAATGAAATCTACAAAGTTAAGCAGATTTAATACATCATCATAATAAGATAAATTGATATGATTTTAACACATATAATGTATGAACTCAAATAGAATATTTTCAATTTAAATATTAATCATCTCCAAGGCAAGAATCACAATAAACTCCAGATAAATAGATATATTTATTTGCGAAAGGGGTCCCAGTACCCCTATTGCAAAGGGGAGGGGCTACAAGCATTGATGCATTAATAATTTCAAAACAACAAATAAATTAAAAAACATTGAATGCAAAAGTAGCAAGCAACAGGCGAATTGTGCCAGACATAAGCGGTCAGTGACAAGTCAAAAAGTAAAGTCATAGTTGTATAATAAAAGCAAAAAATACGATAAAGGACGGTTAGACAGGAGCGAGAGCTGAGGCGAGTCGTAAACAGATAGAGCAGACGGTGATGGTGAGCCGTGGAGCACAGTGGGATGGGTCAACTGGCTGTAACGCATGCAGGGTTTTCAGTACAGCAACTGGGGGCCTATTCTCGAAATATTTCCGTGCACGGAAGTGGCTTCGTAGACGAATTGCGTATAGGAATCATATAGGCGTTCCGTCAACGGAGTCGATTCCGCGCACGGAAATATTTCGAGAATAGGCCCCCTGTGAAGTTACAAATCGCTTTATAGGCCAGCAGACTGTCCGAGCTAAGTATGTAGTCAACAGAGGCACCAACAAGTCCCAGTTTTACCAGCCGGGTCCTTAAGGGTGCCAAGTGAATTTGAAAAAAGATTCAAAAAAAAATTTTTCTTTCCCTTCATCATTGGAGAAATATGTATTCATCCATCCGACGAAATTTCAAACCCGCAACCGGAACTAGATATCGAGAAAATAAATGCGGAAAATCCTCTATTTCGCGTGACGAACTTCGAGAAAGCATGGGATCAAATGGGTACGGCGGGTTGAAATATCTCTTATTCACCCCGGTACCCCATTGTTTTTTGTCGCCATCGCATTGAACACATCATTCCCCATATCTTCAAAGTTTTTTCAAATTTTTCTTGAGTTCCTAGGGGATTGAAACGTTCAATTTAATCAAAACTCTATAAGCGGCGGTGTATAAGACTGATTTTGTTTATTTAATTTCTCGATATCCATGAGTTCTAAAATTTTTAAATTGTCACCGATGTTCATCATTTGTCTAATACTATTAATTAAAAAAATTATAACTCTGTCGGTGAATGTCAATTTTGAAGGTCATCGCCAAATTCACTTGGCACCCTTAAAGAAGCTCTGGGTAGCTGGAACAGATTGTAATTGATTAAAAAATGATCTACTGTCAACAATTCAACTGTAGTACAATGAGGACAGTTGGACTTAGGGTCAAATTTGTAACTCTTGCCTTTCAGGCAAAGTCTCCAATACATGCTAGTAGCCAGCCATCATCCACGGTGCGAGATATCTTCAGTTGGAGTACACTTGATCCGTCAAATAAACTCCAGCAGACGAGGTGATTACACCCCAAATAGAATGTAACCAGCCATTGCAGGTATCCAGTTGATCTGAAAGACCACCACACACAATACAGGGAACATTCTCATAGTCTCCAGTGGATCCTGATTGTTTCCTCTGCTTTGAACGCTTTTATTCGTGATTTGGACTGACTTTTGAGCAGCCTTCTTCGAATTGTGTTTCTCAAATAATGTATTCATGTGAGGATAACATGTAATAATCGTAGCCTTGCCGGGCAGACGTCTTCTTTGAGGTTTAGAAATGTTGCCTGATTGGTTTGGCAAGAGAATCGCTGACTTAACTGAAAAAGTTCGAGCCATATGTTCCTTTTTCTCGGTCTCTCTTATTCGATCACTAGTCGATCGATGGTCAGTCAATCGAACCGTAATCGACTAGTACTCGACTTCGTGAACAACTCGAAATCCGTATCAAGTCATCCATCATGGATTGAGCTACGTGAAGTTGGCATCGAAGTTTGGAAAATCGACTTTTTTTTTGTTGGTCTGGATTGTACTCATTGAGTACTTGAATGTACTCTATGCACTTTTTTGTGTACCTCCTTACTTTAGATCTGAAGCAGGGGGGCAAAATCGTGCAGCGTCGGAGTTGGAAAAAAAAAATGTGGCAATCAGTTGCACTTTGATAGTACTGGTATGTACAACTTTTTTTTTTCAATACTAACCCCCTTCTATAGTTCACCCCTTTTAAAATTTTAACAACCAGGAGAAAAAATAATATTACATGAATGAATTTGAAATCGTTGATACTTGTTTGTACCATGCTCATTTTACTTCTTCATTTGTTTTTTTATTAACTATCCCCATCCATAATTTCCCCCTTGGAATTTTTTTAATGCCATATAAAAAAAAATTAACGTGTATTAATTGCAAAATTGTTACTACATGTTAGTACAATCTTGAATCCTCTCATTATTGACTGGCCTTACTCATTATTCTATTTACATTTGGATCGCCACATTTTTTTCTGATGAGTACAACCCAATAAAATGATTGTACATGTCTATAAACACGGATTCGTGAAAGTACTAACGTCCAGAGGTGTAATTTAAATGGCTCATGATGGGGTTATGTCTAAGTACAAACGCTCTGCCATTATTTTCGAGCTAGTACACACATTTCCAGTGACACCCAGCTCATGAACATTTTTTTCCTGATTAGTACAATCAAGTATACTGATTGTACATGTCTGTAGACTCGGAGCCGTGAGAGTATTAACGTCGGGGTGTAATTCAAAGGCCTCATAATTGCATTATTTCCAAGTACAAACGCTCTCCTATTATTTTCGAGCTAGTACACACATTTCCAGTGACACCCAGCCCATATACATTTTTTTCCTGATCAGTACAATGAAGTATATTGATTGTACATGTCTGTAGACCCAGACTCGTGAAAGTACTAACGTCGAGGTGTAATTCAAAGGCCTCATAATTGCATTATTTCCAAGTACAAACGCTCTCCTATTATTTTCGAGCTAGTACACACATTTCCAGTGACACCCAGCCCATATACATTTTTTTCCTGATCAGTACAATGAAGTATATTGATTGTACATGTCTGTAGACCCAGACTCGTGAAAGTACTAACGTCGAGGTGTAATTCAAAGGCCTCATAATTGCATTATTTCCAAGTACAAACGCTCTCCTATTATTTTCGAGCTAGTACACACATTTCCAGTGACACCCAGCCCATATACATTTTTTTCCTGATCAGTACAATGAAGTATATTGATTGTACATGTCTGTAGACCCAGACTCGTGAAAGTACTAACGTCGAGGTGTAATTTAAAGGGCTCATGATGGGGTTACGTCTAAGTACAAACGCTCTGCCATTATTTTCGAGCTAGTACACATTTTCAATGACCCCCAGCTCATGTACATTTTTTTCCTGATTAGTACAATCAAATATCCGTATGTTAAATTCTCAACTCTTCATTCCAGATATCCTAGAACTATTATCGATTATAACCCGATTTTTAACATGCAGAATAGAATTGTAGAAAATAGAATTTTCATCACGCTGTGACGAAAAGTGAACTTTTCGGCACGCTCCACGTGCCTAAAAGTCCAATTTTCGCCACATTGTGATGAAAAATATTGTTCGTAACTCGTGGAAAAATGTTTTTTAGCTCGTGGGATTATATCACTCGCCTTCGGCTCGTGATATAAACCTCCCACTCGCCAAAAAACACTTTTTTGCACTCGTTAGGAAATATACTAATTCTATTCAACACACATTAAAAAAAAACAAGTTTACCAATCACAAACCTTTATTATTATGTTCTGAACATGTATCTATCAGAAGCTTAACAGTGATAATCTCCAAAACGTACGAAAAATAATTACATAAAATATATCTATTATTGAATAATATCACCCTTATAATCCACATGGATTCTCGACATAGATTAGCACTGGAATTTTCCTCTTCTTCATAAGGTCTCGAGATCCAAGTACATGTGATGTAAGCACCTTAGATACGTCATTAAATCGTAGCCATTGTCCAGTACG